GTTCGTGCCGCTTCTTAAACCCGGAAAGGAAGGAAGAAAGCACTCGACAGACTGTCGAGATGCGCAAAAGTGATGTAACCGAGCCAAATTTCAGGCCATGGACTAATCCGGTTACCTTAGCGCTAAACACGCCTTTCGACAGAAGAGCGAGCTCATTTCTCTACTGCTCTGTTCGAAAACTGACAAACATCTTTCGAAAATGGCAGGCAAGTAATTATTAACAGTCGATTCGTCTTTCGTAGGCTGGCCTAGATATGAGGACAAGAGAGCTCTTAAAAACATTTTTGTTTGTTACTAAATTAAATGTTGTTTGGCATGAAGCCACAAACAGCGACGAGTTCTAGCTTTATGAATAAAACCTGATTTTTCAAGATTTACTTGACTAAGTTGCTGGAAATTTTTTCTCATGTACAAGTCAGCCAGAACGATACAACTGAGAGATTAAAAATCTTTCCTTTGAAATCCTTTTTTAATTATCCTTTTTTTTCCTCAAGCGACGATAGCGTGGCACACCTCTCAATCTATACTACACTTGTATTTCTATCCTTTTTATACGTCAGGTTCTTTCTTCAACAATTGAGATGTCATCGGTTACAGGTAAAGATGCGTATTTTTCAAAACTGAATCGTTCAAATATTGAAGCCGCTTCTTTACTGCCGTTTGATCTAGAAAGTATTTTGACGGAACACGAATATACACCAATCAAACAATATTTTGATATACATAGTTTTAATCCAAATGCAATCTTCTTCATGCATTATTATCACATTGTTCATGTGAAAGCTACTACATTCAGTACGGATTAACTAAACAAATGCCATTGGCCGTCTTTCAAATGCTAATTGGTGTATCTAGTATGTACTGTTATAGAAAAAGTTGCTGATATCGGATTAATAACAGAAGAACAGCTCTATTGTTTTCTTCACTTCTACGATCGGGAAAAACAGTTTTGTACAAAGAAATTATTCGTTCAATCAAAGAAGTAGAAGCAACATTTACAGAATATTATATTAAAAACACTCATCTTTGTGCTCGTACACATTCAACCAACAGTAGCAAAGATTCAGAAGATGATGAATTGTGTTAGGTATTGTGAATCGGGCTGGACTGAGAAAATCATTAGCAATTTGTTCAAAGTCATTGATTTATGACGAGCTGGATAGTATGTTTACACATTTTGGTGTTAGTGATTCCTGTGATACTGACAAAGAACAGGCACGTCTGGTTTGGCTGTCCGGTTTTGATGAGTAAAAGTACATGGCTTTCACAAAAAAAAATGTTGTTTATTCTTATTTTTCTTATTTTAGTAATATTAACCCTTGCATTTAGAAACTATTCAACGTTTTTTTCTGTCTCAACAATCTGCATTTCCGAAGTGATGGCGAATTGTACATTGTTAAAAGCATGCTCATCAATGTGCAGACACGAATTCGGCAAAACTCGCTGACCTGTTTAGATGTTCATTCAACAATGGTGGCAATGTGCAGTTTTGCACATCGTCGCTACCAAATTTAAAACAACGATGTGCAAGACCGAATTCGCCGAACTATGTAAATTCTTAGAAAAAGAAAGCAAAAATTATGTATCAACTCGGATCAATGTAAAAATGATCACTTTGGAAACCATTACTGTAAAATATGAATCCAACTATGTGCAAAACCGAATCGTTCACCAAGCTAAACTAGAACTCACAGGACTACGCATGATAAATATCGGACGTGGAAGAAGGTTCCCCTCCAGTTGCAAAAATGTGCGTATTGCTTGCATCTTGCAGGTATTTCTTATTAAATACTGCGAATTCACACATGACTACGCATAACAAATATCGGAAGTGAAGGAAAGTTTCCCTACCGCTCGGGAATCTGCAAACTGCTTGCACTTTGCACGTTGCAGATACTTCGTATTAAATTCTGCGAATTCACACATTCCATCATTTGTTTTTTATGATGACATGTGCCATGTAATTAAACATATTATAGAGATATAGAGAGAGAGAAGCTTTCTTCAACTTCGGATAATTATCGTAGCTACCCATCTACGAATTCACACATTTTCATACGAATTGATTGCAATGTGCAAAGTACACGCTATTTGCAGATTTTTTGACCTAGAGGAAAATATTTTTCGATTTTGATCTACTTTAATAGCAATGGACTTGTGAATTTTCACATTTTCATACTAATTGTTTGCAAAGTACAAAGAGCAAGCAATTTGCAGATTTCTCGATGTAGAAGTAAAGACTTTTGATAGTTCGCATAGCTACTCACCTGGAACTTTGCACTTTTAACGTACGAAGTAATTGCAATGTGCAATTAGTAAAACAGCCACAGTCTATCCACTACTTCTTACGAAATCGCACATCGCTTAGCAATTTGGCCTATCCGCTTTCTGTGAATTCATGCGTCAACAGCGAAGTGCATTTGCGAATTCCTAAAACGCTGTGAATTAACAGTAACATCTAGTTTTTTGAAATTCCTGCGATTCGTCCACGCTCTGCAAGGTACATTTACGAATTGTCTAATTTTATCATACACTTCGCATTTGCGAATCCTTCGAACATGAAAATTAATGAGTAGTATAAAACTTGGATTTAGCAGTGTGCATTTACGAAATTCGTAAAATGCTCTCAACAATGTGCATTTACGAACTCTCATCAGTGCCAGTGTCTGACAAAAGTCTCAGAGTAACTTCCTCTCGTATAGGTACATTTATTAATAGAAATGTGTTATTTAAAGCTTCATTCTTCTATTGTATATTCTCTTCTTCATTTTATATAGACTCTCACTTGTATGTAGATGGAAATGAAGATGATATGATGATTAGAGAACATGCAGAAGCTTCGCATGATTCACCTCAGTCGGCTGTCACAAATCAATCGTTGCTTAATCAATTCAATACTTTGATTTATCAGAATAGTACTTCGTTGTCTTTTACATTAACATAGACTTTAACTAGACATCTTTTCTCTGTCTCATTCTAGAAATATCTGGTGCAAATAATTTTAAGCATATCTCAGAATCATTTAATCCAATGGAAAATGTTGATCATACAAATATTCGCGATGATATGGGAAGTAAAAACTTGACATAAACATCTGCAGAACAGGAAAAAGAATCTGAACACACTGAAGAAAATATTTATTTGTATAGGGTTCTAAATTTATCATACGTACTTGTGTGGTGACAATATGTGGTGCGGAATGGTATTTTTTTATCATTTCACCAACATTTGAATACGAAAATAATTCTTTGTAATCTTGACGCCGGCACACAAAATCAATCGCAGAACTAACTTTTGTTACTCGATAATCAGTGTTAAAATTGATATTCAGTATTTGCACAATATGATACAATTTTTTATCTAATTTATTTGGTAAAATATCTGATAATTTCACTGCACATGTCAAATGATTGGGTTTGATTTTACGAGATAAATTATTATTTATTACATCAACTGTGTGTTGATATTGTTGTTGAACGTTGTCCACGTCCATCTTTTCACTCATATCTGAAAGATGAAAAAATAAAACCCTTTTTTAATAATCCATCTTCCTTTTATATAGTGGTCTACCTCGCCTCTGTTTTTCAGCCGCTCCACTTTCCTATTTAGTTTGACTTCTACAGTGGTATGACGAAAGAGTCATTTTTCATTAAGATAATATTCTGGGTATTTCAAATGTAGTTGGAAATTTAGAATCCAACGCTCAGAAACCACACACAGCCTTCGATGTGATAGAGCAAAAACAACAGATAATATGTGCAATTTCCTTTACACTGTATAACAGAAACGTGAGAAATCCTAATTTCATAAAACCAAAACAAATTTCTTTTTCGGTCTAATTAAAGCAAGGTTCTTAGTTCATTTTCTTTTTGGCATTTTTGTAATTTTAAAACCAATTGACGATTGTCGCCCTCTTTACTATCTTCACCACCGTGATCATCTAGATCACTATAGTTAACACGCTCAGATACGTTTGATTGAGGATGATAAAGAGCGTCGTGAGATGCGGGATAACCATGATCCTTAGAGTTTCTCGAAAAATGTCGGCAACAAACTGCGCACCGTTATCGGAAATAATTTTACAAGAATGCCATGCCGGCAAATGACTTCATCATGCAATAGTTGAAGGATCTAGTCTGGAAATTAGGTAGGTATTTTTGACGGTGATCTCGTTCGGTTTTCGAAAATCGATACAGAAACGAGGTATACCAACCGTTTTTAGCGCTAAGGTAACCGGATTAGTCCATGGCCTGAAATTTGGCTCGGTTACATCACTTTTGCGCATCTCGACAGTCTGTCGAGTGCTTTCTTCCTTCCTTTCCGGGTTTAAGAAGCGGCACGAACCTTATTTTATCGACCTGGCATCCCCAACATCAACGTGATGTTTAACTATGTTAGTACGGCTCGGTGTTGGGGAGAAACTATTGTAATATCGAAAGAGAAGTTGCCGCAATTAATTTTCTTGGTCCAAGGGGAAGTCAGACGAAGCTAAACCAAATTTAGCTAGCCAGTCACCAGGTATATCGTACAAGCACCGAATGACTCCGATTGCTTCTCTGCCGTTTGTGATAAAACTGAGGATTGGCTAGTGAAATACGAGTAAGATCGGTTTTCTCAGCTAAAGAACGAACTATGATGGCAGTCAAACGGTCTAACCTCTCAACTGTACTTTGACTATTAGCAAAAAGTGATAAAGACGAATCGAAATTTCCTCCAACATCAACATTTTTTCGAATCTTGATTCTCTCATCCTCAATCCGACGTACAATTTGATCTTGACTAAGCACTCATCGTCGAATCTTTTCTATATAATCGTCAAATTTTCTCGCTGCTATAAATAATGGGGTTGCTAATTCTGGACTGTTAACACGTGTAGCAGCTGAAGTGTCTTTAGAACAGTTTTCAGCAGAACTAGATGAATTAGATTGCCACCCATCAAATTACTGTAACATAGGTTCGATCTTTTGTAGATGAAATGAACGTGGTGAAGTCATCTGATGATTTCTTTAGCCGGGATGAAATCGCGATAATGGTAACTATAAACTCGCCTTCACTCTCTAGAAGAACTACTAAAGAGCACTTACTAACAGATCAGATGCAAATCTATTTTCGTTTCAAAGCATTAAAGAGAATAGTTATTTAATACTCATTAATTGAGTTGATCAAGTGTCGGCATTTCTTATGCTATCTCGCACAGATTCGTAACTCGTTCACAATATTGTTTTCTTGTGTTTCATTTTATTACTAAAAACAGCACGAAAGCAAAATGTCTTTCGGAACCGTATTAAAAATCTTTCTGTGCTCAGTTACAAGTGAAAGAAATATATTTATTTGAGTTCATCTAGTTACTCAATGGTGATTCACAACTATTTTGAGTACCGTAAGATACAACAACAACTGGTAAATTGAAAGCGTATGACCAGCCAAGTGGATTGTTCATCACATGACAAAATCCCGGGCGAGTACTTAGTTGAGGACAGTTGAGAAGAAAAGCAATGATCATGGCATACGGTCCTTGCGGGTTCGTCGGACGACAATAACCGTGAGAGATTGCTGCTGACACACCAAAATATTCCCCTATGCCACATGCTTGTCCTGCACGACGACTTGGATCAAAACCATTGACGCAAATTGATTTAATAGAGGTTGCGGCTGTACCATGGAATGCAAAGAAACCTCGTGCCATATCCGGTGGTAAACGATCACCGAGAGACTCAACACCTTTGTAGAAGAGCTTCAGAGATGCACAATGATGGGCTAGGGCCATATTGTAATCGATTCGAATGATGGGTGGTGTCTGTGGTGTCCAACTGTCTCGTGCAAATTTTTCGGCCACCTTAAATAAAGTAGGAAGAAAATCACCCATACTTTGATGCTTATCTCGTTCAGCACATGTTCGTCCTTGATGTAAGTCATCGTCAATTAGACAGCAAGAGGGACAAACACTTCGTCCACATGTGAGACATGTTTGATAGCCAAGACTTCGTTTAATAAGACCATCACATACTTGATTAGGACAAAACGTTTGATCGTGCATATTAGAGTTATTTTTCAAATAAATTTGAAGCGATTTTTTGCATACACGAATGAGTTCTTCTCGTTCATGAAAGATTTCGAATAAATCCTGCATTTCGATATTCATCTTGCATTTAGATTCATTGCATTGTAGTGGAAATGTTTGCGTTAGATGAGTAGCAGCACATCGACAATAGGCATGACCACATAAACGTAATGTATTCGTCGAATAGGACATTTTGCCACAAAATACACATATCTGTTTATCTCGAGTAACATTACCATCGGCTGAAAGCTTGCTCAAAATTTGTTTGACCTCTGCTTCACATGAATCAATGAGCGATAATTGTGTTTTAGGTTGTGCATAGATGATAATGCATTTTGTCTTCGAAGTATAAGTCACATTACATCCCCAATTCATCCATCTATCGGCAAGAGTTTGAAGTTGACTATCGGCTAATTTTTTTCGTCCGAAAAAGTTAGCCGTTGCCGAATTCAGTTCCAGAACACGAAACCGTTCATCGAACGTATCAGAATAATCGGCAATTTGACGCATCAACTGACCTTGTTGAACTTGAGGGCCACGAATGGTGATCCATGTACCCGATTTTTCTTTCTTGGTAATTACAAGATTTAACTTTTTTGACCACTCTTGAATGATACTATTTGAGAAAAGTTCATCAAACAATTGTTTTTGTCGATCATTCGTCATTTTAATAATAATCGGTGACGTAGCTTGTGCAAGCATAGCTGCTGCTAAAGCCGTTTTCTGTGGAGTACCATGATTGAAGAAACAGCGAATAGTGCCTCGACCTTTTTGTTGTTTTTGATCGATTGATTGCTGTTGAACTTGAGTTTCGAATTGATTGGCCACTTGTTGAATAAGTATATCAAAATCGGGATACAAATGAGGATGAGTTACCGTTACTGTTGCCGAACTATCAATTTTCCATGATGATTCCATTTTCGAAATGATTTCTTTGTACAACTGAAGTGCCGACTCACGATTGTTAGTCGTGATAAGAAAAGTTTGTGGAACAGGATCTTTTCCTTGTAATTCACTGAGAGCTGGAACGACTTGCTTTTGTACGAGTTGACGACTTGTCCGCGTTCGAACAGTGATCTTGATTGGTTTCTGACAAAAATCTGATTGAAGTATCATGATAGCTTGTTGACGTTGCGGATTGTCAGCAAAAAATATGTGCGCCGATGACGAACCTGTGCCATCTTTGTGTGTTTGTCGTAGACTGATTTTCAGCGGATTGATTGGTTGCAAAATTTGACGCATGAATGATTCACTAGCATCTCTTGGCAAATTGATCAATTGAATGCCCGGCTGAGCTTTTAGATTTCTCTTGCCAACCTGTCGACAATCGACTGCATGCGGAGTAAGACGCTTCAAAATTTCTTTATCAGTTATGAAACTACTGTCTTGTGGGACAGTTAACACTAATTGACGACCCGATGCATCTTTCTCACTCATGTGTGTACCCGTAGTTGACGATGACAGAGCTTCTTGAGGACATATGTAATGTGGTGATAAACTTGCTGCTGCTTTATGAAAAGCTTCCACTGATTTTAGTACAATGTAAAAAGGCGGTGCTTCATAGTCGTCGTCATCATCATCATCATCGCTTGAACTTGCTGTACGCTCTTGAAAATTATTTTCTCTGATATCATGCCGCTTAATATTGAGTTTTGTTTCCAGCCAAACTTGCAGTTTTTCATATTTTTTACATGGTACTCGTTGAAGATTAAGTCGAAGAGCATTTTCTATAATCTCAATAGCAGAACAGATCAGACCATTTTGAAATGTTGCTCGAATCGGACCACATTCGACTGTTTTAGAATGAGTATTCGCTAAGATTGGTTGCAAAACGGATTCTAGATGAGATCGATCTATCGCCAAACCCCATATTGTCAAGCGACACGATAGTCGATCGTACTCATGAACGAGCCATTTTGCCCATACTTCTGAACTAACACTTTTGAATAGCGTTCGGACTTCGTTGCTAATTGACCATCCGACATTCTCTCGAACGAGTAGTTGTTGTACAGGTGAAGCTGGAAGATGATGTGCGGGAACTTGATGAAGACGATCGACAATATACCTTCCTGAAGGTAACCGTGTGATGGACATAGCTACGAAATACTGATGCGTATGATCGTGTGCACGCTGAACGTAGATGCTTCTGTTGGCGATGCTTGCGCGTAGATCACTTTCAATGAGACGAACACCTTCGTCTGGCAAGTGTGGTACGAGAAGATGAGCGAGCTGAGTAGGATAAAGTTTTCGAAGATGCTCTCCAATAATGTCTCCATCATTCGGTTGCCTATTATTTGTTTTAACACCTGGTGTTAACTTCCAACGAGATTTAGTAATTGTCTTTACGTAAAACAACACCGAACTTTCGATAGACTGAAGAACTTGATTGTTGAGCCCATTCATGAACGAATGCTGTGTTCGACACGGCTGACAAATATCTGATTGGTCTTGAGGTGATTTGTGACAAGTGATACATTTGTTGGTAGACCGATCAATGGTGCCTACAACCTTCCATCCATTGAACACGGTGCAAAGATCGAACAAATCGCTGTTATAGTCGTCGGCACCGGATGCTGCACTATTGCGAATATTGTCATTGGGATCATTAGTGGTATCGCTTGTAGAAAAGAGAGAACCGGATGCCGACAAAATGGAAACAATAGTGGCCGCAAGTGAGAGTAATCGTTGATCTTCTTTTTGATCTGTGTAGGCATTTACCATAAATGCACTCAAACAAGGATTAAGTGACAATTCGGCAAAGAGTTCACCGCGCGTTGTTATTTTTGTCTCTTTGTCGAGGCACATAAGGTTTGTGAGAAGATCAAGTGAACTCCGTACTGAAACCGAATCAGGTTTAGTCATGAAAGGAAAGGTTTGTGGATCGAGACGTAAACGTTTCAGTTGAAGAAGAACTAGATCGAGTGAAGAACGAAGAATTTCAGCTTCAATATTTTCTGTTTTCAATTCATCATCGTTATACAGACGAACGCAGTGACCTCGTTTAATATGGCCCGCTGTGTCTCTGCGTTTAGTGGCCGAAAAACGTGAAATACGTACCGTTTCCAGAACGTTCAAATGACGTTGTATATCAAAACGAAGCTGTCGTACGAGACCGGTATCAATGACAAGCTGAACATTTTTTATTGTAAGCGACGTTTCGGCTACATTCGTACAAAAAACGACCATTCGTTGATTTGATCGTTTATCATCAAATTTGAGTATTTTGTTCTGTTCTTCAGGCGATAAAGATCCGTAAAGTGGCAATGCAACACATCCATTTGGAATATTGCTACTAAAAAGTCGAAGTGCTTTTTCGATTTCACGTTGACTAGACAAAAACACAAGCGTATGTCCTGCATGTTTTGGATACAGACGAAGTAAAGTAGGTACAACGTGTAGTTCAATAAATTTATAATCTGGACAGTCGATAGGCGGTGGTAGATTTTCAACGACTACTGGATGTATGTGATCTGCTACGTCCAGTGGTGGACTTGATGAACGATCGAAGAAACTCAAAAATGGTGTTGGATCGATAGTGGCCGAAGCAACAACAACGAAAAAATCGGTTGTTCGTCTGGCTAACAATAGTTTAGCCATACCCATGACAATATCTGTATTCAATGAACGTTCATGAACTTCATCAATGATCAAGACACGTATTTGGCTCAATTCTGAATCTGTCTGAAATTCATAAATGAGAGCTGCGTCCGTCATGAACATGATGTTCGTGCCAATCACACAATTATTCTTTCCAGCGTTACCATTGCTAATTTGATAGCCAACTGAATTACCTTCTGATGTGCCATCGTATTGGTCGGCAACTCGATGAGCCAGTGCTACGGCAGTACTTGCTCGTGGTTGCGTGCACACAACAAGACCCTCAGGAAAACATTCAGCTGCATATTGTGGTAACTGAGTGCTCTTACCGCTACCCGTTTCGGCCACAACAACAAGCATTTTCTCTCGTTGAAGTCGTTCGCAAAATTTGATGCGTGAGGCAAAAATTGGTAGTTGAGCCATTTTCCGTTCAGCCATTCGGGTTGCGACTGATTTGAAGCGATGATGTTGTTGAGAATGGACTCTGTTTGTATTATTATAGGATTCCTATTTAGATTTGGACAGATGCAAACGAACACAAGAGACATTGTCATATCATACCTCGGTAAAATCATTTTCGTTCGATTGAAAATATAAATCTGGTCTGTTATATTGTGAGTTCTCATCGGCGAATGTTTTTGATCGATACGGTAAATTATGAGCATGATTACTATAGTTTTGATCATTATTGTCGTACGAAAACTTGGATTTGTTCGTATTCGGATGCAAATAGGAACAATCAGGTTTTCGACATACAGTGCCGTGAACACATTTCTTCTTACGATTTCGTGGATGATTAGCCGAACAAGCAAAGTCGTTGCATTGCGCACCATTCGTACATGCATGCCACCCTGGCGAATGTTTGTACGAACAGTCAGCGTTAAAACAACTGTCACCATGACGACATGGTGTACGTCTCGAATGAGTTCTTCTTTGAGATGAATATAGATCATCGCGGTCTTGTTGAAAGTTGTCTCTTGATGTACCTGAAAACACATCATGTGTTGTGTTTTATGTTATACGTGTTCGTATTCCTCAAATAAGATAATTTATGATCGGTCAAGTTCTTACACAGTTTGAGCTGGCGGAATGTATAACTTCCTATTACAGATAGCGCGTACCGATCGTCATAGCGGTACATATCCAAGCATCAGTTCAGCTTTGAAATAAGATCGATCGCGCGAAATAGGTTCCATAGAAACTTGAATAAGCCTTTCTCTCTCGTTGGTTATGATTGTTTTTTCAAAATGCACATGTCGGCAAAGTGATTGTCGGTCAAGTGAACGCGGCCCGTACAACGCACCTTTTTTGTCAATTAATCTCTTCAGTTTTGTGCATCCCTGACTAAAAGAAGGTCGAGATTTTTCCCAAATTCGTTTGAAAAAGGCTGGGCAAGACTGGTTTTTTAAATATGTACGATCTTGAAAATTAAAGATTTTTTAATTTTGTATTACTTTCCGAGTATAACACAGTGGGCAATTCTAGCTAAGCACGTGCACACGAGCTTAAGAAGCGGTGTAAAAGTGTCTAAATACTTTTTTATAGGTTTTTCACGATGCTCTTTCCAGTGAAATGGTTTTTGAGTTTTGGAACAGTTTTCTAGGCGCTTTCCCAGTGATCCGGTCTCCAAAGAGCCACTTAGAAAATTTTTTCAAAACTCAAAAATCAGACCAGTGGAGAGAGTATCGTCGAAAACCTATAAAAAGTGTTTAAATGCTTTTATCTTCTTCTTAATTAGAATTTCGTAATTCAGGTAAAATATTGAGTTACGCAAGCTTCAGCCTCAGAAACCAATCGAATTTAAAAGTATGTGCCCTAGAATGGACAAGTTGTATACTATTCGATGCAGTTTTTTGCTCTAATTCCGAATATGTTATTGGTTTTTAGTTTTGATGTTAGTAAACAGAGAAAACTCGATTTTCCTTAACAACCTATAACTCAGCTCAGGAGTATTTGGGTTATTTTGGGCTAACAGCATCGATATGTCGTTAGTAGATGCATGTTTGGTAAAAAGTTCACCTCATCTGAAGGTTTGGAAAAAATCGGAAACCGACAACACTGAGGTCTGCTGTTTGGAAACCACTGAGTACAGAAAGAAAATTTTTCGTCTCGATGATAAAGCGTCCAAAAGATAGAGTGGAAGGTCTAGTTTCACACTATATCAATTTTTGTAAATGTCAGACTCTGAATTACCAAAACTAATTTTTGTGTCATCATCGCTCTGTTTTCTGACAAAAATTTGATTCTCTTACAAACATTTGAATATACAGAACTTATTTTGTTCTACACAACTGTGCATGTAGATTATTGTTCAATTTATTCTAGGCGGCTATTGTACCGAAGTAGTTTCTTTGATTCGCAGAAGACTGATACCTTTTCTTAAAAGGATTTGTGAAATAGTCAATCGATTCAATATCTCCGAAAAATCCAACAGAGATAACACGGAGCGAAATTATCCATGTGAGCATTAAAGCCCATCGATTTAAAATCAACTCTGGAATTTCTCAAAAGTCTAATGTACATAAATCCTCCAAATCTCATTTGGTGAGACTGATAACTTTGCTACAGATCTACGTAGTTTTGATATCTTTTCGGCTATTAACCTCACAATTTCAACAAACTAAAACAAGAAATGCAAGAAATTCGAAAAACCGCAAGCTTTGCGGAAAGCCTTGATAAGTTGAATCATATGAGGTACCCAAGCAGACAAACATTTGGAAAAACGCGTTTAAACGCTCAAAAGGGAACCGCGATTGTGAGTCAGTAACGCTCATTAAAAAAACGCAAGAAACGCGTTTTTTGCGCAAAATTTTCACT